GGGTTGGGGACACAGCATGGGGTTGGGGATGGGACATGAGGGTTGGGGACACAGCATGGGGTTGGGGACACAATATGGGGTTGGGGACACAGCATAGGGTTGGGGACACAGCATGGGGTTGGGGACATGGCACTGGGGTTGGGGACAGGACACGAGGGTTGGGGACACAACAGGGGGTTGTGGACACAGCACTGTGCTGGGCCACCTTTCCCCCCCCCCCCCCACGAAGGGCACAGCCACCCAAAACGACACCCATCCCCTCGGCGTCCCCTCTGTCCCCACTCACCCACGGGATCCACCACGTCGATGTGGTCCACAAAGTCCCTCTTGCCCAGGTACACCGTGAGCTACGGGGGACAGCGTGGGGTCAATGGGACACCGTGTGTGTCCCCAACCCGGCAGAGCCCCCCTCCCCAGCCCTCCCCACCGCTCACCTTCCCGTTGGGACTCGCTTTCTTGAACACTCTGCAACGAAAAGCAAAAGGGGGCAGCAGGTTATGGGGTGCAAGGGGGCGGCCTGTGCCTCAGCTTCCCTGCAGGGCTGAGCGGTGCCAGGCAAAGGCCCTGCTGTGCAAGGAGCTGTGCAAGGAGCTGGTGCTGTGCAAAGGCCTGGCTGTGCAAGGAGCTGTGCAAAGAGCTGTGCAAGGAGCTGTGCAAGGTGCTGTGCAAAGGTCAGGCTGTGCAAGGAGCTGTGCAAGGATCTGTGCAAGGAGCTGGTGCTGTGCAAAGGCCCTGCTGTGCAAGGTGCTGTGCAAAGGTGAGGCTGTGCAAGGAGCTGTGCAAGGTGCTGTACAAGGGGCTGTGGAAAGGTCCTGCTGTGCAAAAAGGTGGTGCTGTGCAAAGGCCCTGTTGTGCAAGGTGCTGTGCAAAGGCCCTGCTGCGCAAGAAGCTGGTGCTGTGCAAAGTTGCTGTGCATGGAACTGGTGCTGTGCAAGGTGCTGTGCAAGGAGCTGGTGCTGTGCAAAGGCCTGGCTGTGCAAAGAGTTGGTGCTGTGCAAAGGCCTTGCTGTGCAAGGTGCTGGTGCTGTGCAAAGGCCCTGCTGTGCAAGGTGCTGGTGCTGTGCAAAGG